AAAAAACTAAAATCAAGAGGTGTGCATCCCGCTTTGTCTTTTACAAGGGAACGTTTTATCAACGATCATTTGATAGAGTTTTCTTTCAATGCTTAAATAATGATGAAGCAACACATGTTGTGGAAGAAGCCCACTCGAGAATTCGCAGTGCTTATCCGGACCCAAACTTCATTTTTGAATAAAGAAAATGGGATACTACTAGCCAATTATGGTGCAAGACTTCATGTATTATGCAAGAAAATGTGAAGCTTGTTAAGTCCATGCAAATTTCATCTACCAACCTTCATAACTATTACATTTGACAGTAGCTTCTTGGCCATTCGATGCAAGTGATCTTAATGTAATTGAACCTATAACTCGAAAGTCTTTAGCTGGGTATGTATATATCCTCATCGGGCCGACTAATTCTCTAAATGGGCTGAAGCCATCCTATTCGAGAAAGTGAAAAAAGAAAATGTTGCAGATTTATTCATATTCAAATCATTTATCGATATGGGGTCCCACGACACGTCATAACTAATTATGGCAAACCCTTCTGCAGTAGCCATATAAACAATTTATGTGCAAAATTTGGATTCAAAAAGTACAACTCAGTTATGTACAATACAGCAGCTAAAGGATTGGCAGATGCGTTCAATAAAACATTGTGTAATCTACTAAAAAAGATTGTTTCCAAATCAAAAGGAAATTGTTATGAAAGAACCAGTGAAGTCTTATGGGATTATCAAACTACTTATTAGACTTCATATACTAAGGTGTAAGAAGTAAATATTGTACTTCCTTTGAAATGTCAAATCCCGTCACTTCGAATTGCCATCCAAAAAGGTTTGACAATAGAAGAAAATGCCCGTCTTTGATTAGAGGAACTAGAAGGTTTGGATGAAAAGAGATTAGAGGTAGATGCATCTGGAAAGCTATCAAGCTCGGATGACAAAGTCCTTCAACAAAAAGGTACGACAAAGATCATATCAAGTTGGAGATCTGGTACTTTCCATACACAGGACAATCATAATTACAATAAAAACAGGGGCAAGTTCCAACCTAAATAGGATTTTTCATTTCTTGTTACTTCTGCATTCACTAATGGAACATACAAGATAGTCATCAGAGTTGGACTATAGATCGAACATATCAATGAAAAATTCCTAAAAACATTTTTACACTTGAAGTTCTTTATCTTGTAAGTTTTTCATCGTAATAAAATGTAGCTCTTTGGCCCGCAAGAGGATAAATTGTGAACTGCCCCAAATAAAAAAAAAAGTGTTATTGCAATGAACAACATTTGACTTGATCACTTTTAGGTGCTAGTCAGTTTGAATAAATTAAAAATTCAAGTTCGGTCACAATCAATTTTTTTATTATTTTTTTTGCAATTAAGAACTATACAAGTGACACGAAGAGGAAAAGTTCATTATAAAAAAAAGATGATAGCAAGTCAAAGTTCATATAATATGGTCTTAAATAAAATCAAGAAGTCTCAACTCTATCAAGATCACTCGCCATTGATCACTTGCAAAAATCTATTTTTATGGGGTCTTCATTTTATGGTCGATGGATGCTATACTAATGACATCTCTAGTTTGTGATTCATCTAATGCAACCTTCGCAGCTTCAAATATACTCTTTTATTCCTGATGGGAGTTTAGCATGGAGCTGGCCAGTTTAGAAGTTGGCTGACTAATTTTGACTTCTAATGAAGAACAAGTAGAAGCTTCAACTTTCAGCTAAATATTTAAAAGTTTCAACTGCACAGCCTTTTTTCCAACAGTTTGACACTTCAAGTGTTTTTTTCTTTCAGATAAATAAAATTCAACTTCCTTATGAAACACATCCATTCGGTTCACCAATAGTGTCAGATCTGTGTGAAATGAAGTTGTAATCACATTTTAAAGAATTATATTATTTTCATCCTATCAAGAATAGCTGTTGGAAAACCCATGCTTTAGTCATGTCTTCTTGCAGAGTAGCCTTCAAATAAGGGAAATCTTGAATTTTCGTGGGCAAAGGACTAGACATTGAAGAACAAATTGGCGTAGCCCGATGATTATTTATCTTTGAAGGAGGAATGTTAACTAAAGCTAATAAAGATAGAATAATTGGAACTTATTGATTGATCTCTGAAATGTTAGCCTTCACTATCTTAGAATTTACTTCATCTTCATTATTGAAATCTTCTAGATAAGCGTCGAAGCGCTTTCATTAATGGTGCTCGTGTATTTGCAATGAGGATCGTAAAAATCATGAAACAATCTATTCGTTGAAGCCTATCAATTTTTCCATCATTCTCATCAGTCTGATTTTGTAAAAAACTCAGATTCATGAAAAGATTTAGTCCTTCGGGAATGCTTGGAAAACTTACGAAAAAAAGATTCAGAAAGGAAAGATAGATTGATAAAGAAAAATAAAGAACATACATTCGTTTCGTGTTCTAGGTAACATGTCTAAAAATCCACCATTTGATGGTATATTTGGGAGGCTGGTGTTGATGTTAGAAGCTTTAATGTCACATTTTGAAGGATTCGGAATAACTTCAATCGGCATTGGTTTTACGATTGTTTAATTTTACATATTGGGAAAGAGAATTGTTGAGGGAACTATAATCTTAATTTTCTTAATACCTTTTTCATTTCAAAGGTTTGGTTTCCTCTTTCAAGAAATCTCTTTAGAAATGATATGTGGAGGGTTCAACCCTTTGGTAATGACCTAGTTCGAAGCTAGATTAAGAACAAAGTCATGACTCTCACTAGAAGATTGAAACTGCACTTAAACCTTGGTCAGGATTGGCAATACTCGGTTATTCCACGAACTTTGGTATTCTGTATCAAAGTTTTTGGTGTGTACCCTTCAATTAAGGACTGGCCACAAATAATTGGTTCACAGTTTAAAATAAGTCCAATCATTCAATCAACATATATAAAATTTTCCTAAACATCGCTCGACTAGAATATGCAATCAAGATTCAAAAATAATAAGCACGTGAACGATCTAGATTTATCTGATACCAGTTATTGAAATCCTGAAGCGAAATTATTCAGAAATTAAAAATTTCTATATTTCAAAACTAAGATCTTCTAGATGTTCACGTGTATGTTATATAAAAAAATAATGAATTCAAATTCATACCTAAATTCGATAATAAATTCTTGAATAAATTCTGAATCATGAACTTTCAGCTTTTTAGATCACGAACTTCTAGCCTTTTAATTCCAAGAATTCGATGCTTCAAACCTCAAATTATTCTATGGTATTCTTCAAAGTCAAGACTAGACCGGTGGGTGGGCACCTTCTTTAATTAAATCAAGAAACTAATTCTTGAACTGGACAATTAAAAAAATCAAAAAAAATAAAATCTCTCTCTCTCTCTTTTTCCTTTCCAAAATTTAAACACCACGGAATTATGTATTATGAATGTTATATAATTCCATTCCATAGGATGTTCAGGAACCATTTAATCTCTATTTATAGATATAGAAGAGTTCCAATCCTTATACAATAGCAATGTCATATTTAAACAAGAGTTCTAACTAAAATTAAAGTCCAAATTCAATTAGTTTACATTTAGTTACATGTATAGTCCTAGAACTTCAATTACAATTATAATTAAGTTTACAACTTTTGTAGTTATTACAACTAAGTACAAAACTTTATTATAATTACAATTAAGCCCAAACCTCTTATAATTATCGTAATTAAGTTCCAATACTTCATGAAGCTACTACAGGTACCTGATTGGACATATATTACCCAAACTCCAATAATTAGATCATGTCTAATCGATCTTAGACCACCTATCTAATTATTAGACTTTGCATTTTTCCACTAAAGGCAAAAGACTGAACTTTCAGAATATATAAGATCATAGAAGCTAATAAATCAGTAATACTTTCCTCTGACCTGTCGTTTATGTACTTTTTCCTCATCCGAGATCTGATAATTAGGTACGAGGATAAATGACCATTTTGCTTCTCTAATTATTCTTATTAACTTAAGTTTCATTTTCTTCAACGGTCCTATGAACTAATCACAGATATCGAAATTTAGCCATTGGTAAAAACTGAACTCAGATTTTAACTGTTCAATAGAAAACACTTAAGTAGTCATTCTTTCCATTTTCCAAAGTGACGGTTCCCGACACGAATTTATGTTCTCTACTCCACTCATTCTCAATTTTCCAACTCATCAAGATATTTGACCAATTAATTTGATCTCACCCATTGTTGAATAAACAAACCATTAAATCACGAAAAGATATGCATAATTCGATCAAGGGATTTAGATGAAATGCACAGCAGTTTAGTGGAATTTAATTCTCCGCACGATCATGTTATAGAATTAAATTTGACACATGGTCCGTTCAATACACTCCAAATGTACTAGTGTCACTATTTCTGTGATAAGGACAAATTGCTAACCTAAATAATGAATCGATCAACATTACAACCTTCTAGTACAAGGTGCCAACTCTTATACATTGGTTGTAAACAAATTATTTATGATCAAAATATAAGTTGTGTCACACTGTACTTCTCAAAGAAAGTACTCAACTTATATTATCTTAAGTGATCATAAGTACTTTAATTTGCATGCTCAATAATAAATAATGTAATAAATTACAATTTATTTATTATAAATAATTATTTTATCACAACAAAATATACTATATGGACACACAACCTAACAAGAACGATTGCCCTTTTTTTCTCACAAACAATTATAACCCACATACTATTTTCGCCACTTAGACGCACTCTTCAAGCAAATGGAAGGGGCACTATGCACAAATTGTAAGTGGGAAGATAATGTGAGTATGAGTTGGAAAATTTTGGAGTTAAAAGTGGACGACGTGGAAATTCTTAGAGCAGATTTTCTTGAACTCATCATTCCAAGGTGCATTATGTCATGTCTAACGTCAGCAAGAGCAACAAAAATTCATACAAAGGACTCACAGTCTCACACTTCTCAACACAACAAAGAAAAATCAATTTAGTATCATTATCGTTATGGGATCCTCAAATTCTCTTATTCTTACATTATTCTTAATTCTAGTATCAAATTCATGGGCTGACACTTCACAATCAATTCAAGAAAAATTCTATACGTGCATTTCTCTCAATTCCGAACTTTCTGTCCCGTTTTCAACAGCTTTCTATGCCCCTGACAATGCTTCATATAGTCCCATCCTGGAATCTTCTGCGATGAATTTAAGGTATCTGATGCCTTCTGTGCAGAAACCTCAGCTGATCTTCAACCCATTAACAGAAAATCATGTTCAGACCGCTGTTCAATGCGTAAAAGAGGTTGGGATTCAGCTTAGAGTCCGAAGTGGAGGCCATGATTATGAAGGCCTCTCGTACATGTCACAAATGGAACAACCTTTTCTCCTTGTAGACCTATCGAGACTCCGGAATGTCCATGTAGATATACAGGACAACAGCGCGTGGGTGCAAGCTGGTGCTACTGTTGGTGAGTTTTATTACAGAATTTCACAGAAAAGTAAAAATCATGGATTCCCAGCAGGACTTTGCACCAGCTTAGGAATTGGAGGGCACATAACTGGAGGAGCATATGGATCCATGATGAGGAAATATGGCCTCGGAGCTGACAATGTTGTCGATGCACGAATAGTTGATGCAAGCGGCAGAATTCTTGATAG